CCCTGGGCCTGCTGTGCTGGCCCCGCCCCCGAGGCACGCTGAGATGGCAACTGAGATGGGCATGGTGGCGTGAGCCTGCAATCCCAGCTCTTGGGAGGCTGTAAACAGGCGGATCACTATGAGTCCAATCTAGTAGTGAGATCCTGAACAACCTGTAGACATTTCCTTAAAAAATACAAAAAAATTTTTAAAAACCCAAAAAACAACACTCCAAACAATGGAAAGTACAGGTGTTCCTAGTTCAGAACTATTCCAATAAGCAGAAAATGAATTTGTCCGCAAATTCCAATAAATTTGCCCGCAAAACCAGTGTGCAGATCTCTTTCGTGCACTGAGTTTTTTCATTAAATAATAAAGGTGAGACTGACGCTGATGCATTGATGTTGGGCCACTAACAGCCAGGCCCTGCTGTGCCAGAGCCCTGGCCTCAACCCCAGCACGGCGCCAGAGCCCTGGCCTCAACCCCAGCACGGCGCCAGAGCCTTTAAAGCAGAACAAAGCCACTGGCGTCTCACTGTTCCTACATCCTATTCATCGGGCCCACCAGTCATCACGGACCCACGCTGACAAAGATTCCAGGACACAGAGCGAGCCACGGTCTGAGCTTTCCGCTTGGGGAAACTGAGTCTTGGGGCTCGAATGGACCTGCTGGCTAGGGGTGCAGCTGGGAGCAGCCGGCGCGGTCCTCATGAGGATGACACCAGAAGGGAGGCACGGAGGCTGGGACGGAGGAGCTTGGGGCCCCTGTGGCCAGGCACTCTGAGTCCCTGTGGAGGAGCAAAGCACTCTGGAGTCTGGACCCCAAGACCCCAGAGGGCACAAACGGGTCTGCCGAGCTCTGGGCTCTGTGCAAGTGGCTGGTGTTCTCTGCAGGTTTCGCAGTCCCGTTTTCCAGACCTCTGCACGTCAGACACCAGGATTTACCCGCAAAGCACAGCGTGGGAGTTGGGCTGACCCACTGCGCCCGCAGTGCTAAGGCCTGGACAGGCCAGCGACAGGACGTCCTGGCCTCCTCCCCCTTCCTACTCCGAGTCCACCGTTTATCACCGTGTGTATGAAGAGAGCTGGACATAGAAAGAGCCCAGGGAGCTGGGGAGGACACAGAGGGCCCCGCCGTAGTCACACCCGTGCTCCCAGCAGAGGGGTTGTGAGGAAGCCAGTCCCCCAAATGGAACCAGCAGCTGTACACAGCAGCTTCAGGCTGAGGGCCCCGGTGGGGAGGAGACCCCGAGGAGCTGTCTTCTCCGGAGGGGAAGCCACAGACCAGCCCCTCCTCCAGGAAGCTGGGGGCGGGCAGCGGCTGCAGGAGGGAAGCGCTCCCCTCTCTGGGCGGCTGCAGCACAGTACAGGCGCCTGCTGGAAGGCGGAGCACTCTGCGCTCCGCACGGCTGCACTGGAAGGCACTACTTGAAACCCGAAAGGGTGATAGACACGTCTTCAAAACACAGCCTGTGAAATGGCCAAGACTGTAACTCGGAGGACGCCCAGGAAATAGTGGACACAAAACCTTGCTCTGAGAGCTTACCAGCTTTCAGAGTCACCCATGGTGTGTGTGTGTGTGTGTGTGGCCACACCTGTCATTCCAGCAGGCTGGGGCAGGATTGCTGTGAGTTCAAGGCCAGGCCGGGCTGCACAGTGAGCTCAAGGCCAGCATGTACTGCACAGCGAGCCCCTGTCTCAAAAAGCAAATAAATACAATTAAAAAAACCTCTTTCTCCTTTTGGTAAGGAAAGTTGCGAGGAAGCTGCTTCAGACTCGGTAATGAACCGGCCGATAGAGGGCGCCACACACCAACTGCAGATCACAGAAACCTGCGAGCAGGCCTCTTCCCAGGGACGCCTTCCGCCTCACGGAAAGCCCCGTGGTGTCAGACAGGCTCTCTCGCGGCCCGGTGTGCACGCTTCAGCCTGGTCACCATGCCACGTGGTCCTTCCAGCTCTTGGAAGCGCTTCGCACGCCGACCCCCGATTCAGAAGTCAGGCGTGTGGCCTGGTTGCACCCCTCAGCTGGGCCGCTCTGCCCACACCCCGCGGAGAAAGTGCACACAGGGCTCTCTGGGGTCTTGGAGAGGGGAATGCTCGCCTTTTGTTACAAGTCCTTCCCGCTGCCACCCGCAGGCCACCCTCGGCTGTCAGGGCCCAACAGCGTGTGGGCTGTGATCCCCGGCACCTCGCGTCCCCATGACTACAGTTTGAAGTTCTACTGAAACTACTTCAACAGCCTTCTTAGACAAGACCAGAGCACGCTGCTTCCTATTTCCAGGGCTGCTCACAGCCTGCCACACGGCAGGCAGCAGCAGCAGACGCAGCACGCAGCGGTCACTCAGTGCCGTCCTCCTTGCCCACTACAAAGCAGTAAGGGCAAGCCGCCGCCACCACGTGGGCTGCTGTTAGCCCTCCTGCGCCCCTGCACAAGCAGCAGGAGGGCACCCTGCTGCCCCCTCTCCAGAGCAGGAAACTTAAGCGACTCTGTGAATCCGGCATCGATGCTGTCAGTCGGAAGCTGTGCCATTCATCTCATCCCTGGAGGGGGCTGTGCAGCAGGATGTAGGCTAGAGCAGGCGGCCACGCAGCTTCTCCAAGCCCACAGCCAAGGCCTTTTGGGCTCATCCGAGTCTCGGGAGCGCACTGCCTGGCCCTGTCCCTCTGCCTGCCCTGAACTTCCTGTAGCTGACCTCCCTGTGAGGGCAGGCCAGGCCAGACACCACACCAAGCCCAGATCAGCGAGACGCTCAGGTTCCGGGTGAACCAAAACCAAGGCAGGGCATGGCCTGCGCAGGGAGCCCCAGGAGCCCCAGGAGAGGGCGGCAGCTGCAGGCCCCAGTGGTGCCCAGGAAAGGTGGAGCAGAGGCACTGGAAGGACAACCCAGAGACGCTGGCAAGGAGGCCAGGTGCACCCAGCAACCTGGCAAGGGCACCGGGTGGGAGGTGCTTTGAGAACAAAGGCCACACAACACGTAGAGCACCACCCAAAACGAATCTGCAGCCTTGCGGTTTTGCTCCAGTGGAAAAAGTAAAGAAACTGAAGCCTATGAGCAGTTTAATCACAATCACAATCACAATGCAGAACAACCTTTAGGTTTGTTTTCTGTTCTGTATCTAACACTTGAACAAACCACTCCTGGGACAAGGAGTCAGACACTACACAGCAGGTCACCAAGCAGCGGATCCCGTTCATCTCAGACAAAGCCGTGTCCCGAGCCCCTTTCCCTCTGATGACCTTGGCATGCAGAGAGGAAGCTGCATGACTCTGGATGTGAAACTGTTCACCTCAGCTGCTTGCCATGAGAAGAGCAAGCAGCCACAGACTCGCCTCTCAAAGAATAAAATACGGCCACTATTATTCCAACGGAGGAGTACTCAGGCAAAATCACAATCAATTAATGGCTGAATAAATTTTAACATAATAGCTCAAGAAAGTTGGTGAAATGGGAACTACAGAAAGAAATTCAGCTCAAAAAAGAAATGGATGATTGTTCGGGAAACAGAGAACTCGGTTGAAGGAGAGGGTAGGTGGGGTTGTCACGCACGCGCCCGCACGCACACACGCACACACACATCTGGAGATTCAACAGGGCCTGTAGAAGGTGTTGCTCAGGGGCTGGGGAGTAGCTCAGCTGCACAGTGCTTGCCTGGCAAGTGTGAGGTCCCGAGTTCGAGTCCTGGGACCCCTAAAAGAAGCAGTGGGTCACAACTGCAAGAATTAAAACCTCCACCACAAGCAGCGCCAGAAGGCAGCAGTTTGAAGATGAAAGGTAAGTATGAGAGAGACAAAGAGGAGGGACAGCGCCGCCTATGCAGCGGTGGGTGCGGGTCAGCTCTGAACCCCATCCTGGTCCCCACCGGGCTATACAGTTCTTAAGTGTCTTCCTTTCTCTGACTCAGTTTCCTCAAAAGCAAACTGAAAAAGTTAGAGGCCCACGTTGTGATTCCCTTCCCCAACCCTAAATTCCTGTCACTCAATCTGATCCTGATCCTGTATCTTGAGGCATATTTGTCCTTAATTTTCTACCAGTCACAAGAGCACTAAAAAAAGTAGGAAAAGTTAGAAGTTAACACCGAAACTCCACTAA